GGCTCCTCTGTCCGTGGGATTCTCCAGGCAAGAATACTGGAGTGGGTTGCCATGTCTTCCTCCTGGGGATCTTCCTGACCCAGGGATTGAACCCATGTCTCTTATGTCTCCTGCACTGTCAGGTGGGTTCTTTACCACCAGCCCCACCTGGGAAGCCCCCTAAATCTCATACCTAACACAAAAAGTAATTCAAATGGATCATAGATTTAAATGTAAAACATAAAAATTTAAAACTGGGCATACTGAAGAGTTCATAAACATGACACCGAAAGCACAACCCACTAAAAAATAGATAAATTAGACTTCATCAAAATTTTTAAGTTTCTCTCTGCAAGAGCGCTTACTGAGAGGATGATCTTAGGGTTCAATATGAAGATTAACATTTTTAGGGCCAGGCACTGGGATTTAAAGTTAGTTTACTACTAAAAAGCAAGCTTGTTGAGCTTAACTTTAGTGGCAGGAAGGAAGGAACAGTGAAACAAGGAGTATACAGAAGTAATCAACTCTAGTCAACGGCCCCATTTCCAAACATGGAGAGGAGAGAAGAGATTATAAAACTGTAGTGGCTTATAGATGTATAAAAATTACCTGAGAAGACAAATGAATGTCTCTTAAACATCTGAAAACTTCTTTCATAAATAAACACATAAAGTGAAAGGCAAAGGAGAAAAGGAAAGATATACTCATTTGAATGCAGAGTTCCAAAGAATAGCAAGGAGGGATAAGAAAGCCTTCCTCAGTGATCAAAGAAAGAAATAAGGAAAACAATAGAATGGGAAAGATAGAGATCTCTTCAAGAAAATTAGAGATACCAAGGGAACATTTCATGCAAAGATGGGCACAATAAAAGACAGAAATGGTATGGACCTAACAGAAGCAGAAGATATTAAGAAGAGGTGGCAATACAGTATACTAACGCATATATATGGAATTTAGAAAGATGGTAACGATAACACTGTATGCGAGACAGTAAGAGAGACACAGATATATTGAACAGTCTTTTGGACTCTGTGGGAGAGGGCGAGGGCAGGATGATATGGGAGAATGGCATTGAAACATGTGAATTATCATATGTGAAATGAATCGCCAGTCCAGGTTTGATGCATGATACAGGATGCTCGGGGCTGGTGCACTGGGATGACCCAGAGGGATGGGATGGGGAGGGAGTTGGGAAGGGGGTTCAGGATGGGGAACACATGTACACCCATGGCGGATTCAAGTCAAAGTATAGCAAAGCCAATACAATGTTGTAAAGTAAAATAAATAAATAATTATTAAAAAATAATAATAATAAAAAAAGAAGAGGTGGCAAGAATACACAGAAGAACTATACAAAAAAGATCTTCATGACACACATAACCATGATGGTGTGACCACTCACCTAGAGCCAGACACCCTGAAATGCGAAGTCAAGTGGGCCTTAGGAAGCATCACTACAAACAAAGCTAGTGGAGGTGATGGAATTCCAGTTGAGCTATTTCAAATCCTGAAAGATGATGCTGTGAAAGTGCTGTGCTCAATATGCCAGCAAATTTGGAAAACTCAGCAGTGGCCACAGGACTGGAAAAGGTCAGTTTTCATTCCAATCCCAAAGAAAGGCAATGCCAAAGAATGCTCAAACTACCGCACAATTGTACTCATCTCACACACTAGCAAAGTAATGCTCAAAATTCTCCAAGCCAGGCTTCAGCAATACGTGAAGCATGAACTTCCAGATGTTCAAGCTGGTTTTAGAAAAGGCAGAGGAATCATAGATCAAATTGCCAACATCCAATCCCAAAGAAAGGCAATGCCAAAGAATGCTCAAACTACCGCACAATTGTACTCATCTCACACACTAGCAAAGTAATGCTCAAAATTCTCCAAGCCAGGCTTCAGCAATACGTGAAGCATGAACTTCCAGATGTTCAAGCTGGTTTTAGAAAAGGCAGAGGAATCATAGATCAAATTGCCAACATCCATTGGATCATCGAAAAAGCAAGAGAATTCCAGAAAAAACATCTACTTCTGCTTTGTTACTATGCCAAAGCCTTTGACTGTGTGGATCACAATAAACTGTGGATAATTCTTCAAAAGATGGGAATACCAGACCACCTTACCTGCCTCCTGAGAAACTTGTATGCAGGTCAGGAAGCAACAGCTAGAACTGTACATGGAAGAACAGACTGGTTCCAAATGGGGAAAGGAGTACGTCAAGGCTATATATTGTCACCTTGCTTATTGAACTTATATGCAGAGTACAGAATGCGAAATGCCAGGCTGGATGAAGCACAAGCTGGAATCAAGATTGCTGGGAGAAATAGCAATAACCTCAGATATGCAGATGACACCACCCTTATGGCAGAAAGTGAAGAAGAACTAAAGAGCCTCTTGATGAAAGTGAAAGAGGAGGGTGAAAAAGTTGGCTTAAAACTCAACTTTCAAAAAACTAAGATCATGGCATCTGATCCCATCACTTCATGGCAAATAGGGGAAACAATGGAAACAGTGACAGACTTTATTTATTTGGGCTCCAAAATCACTGCATATGGTGACTGCAGCCATGAAATTAAAAGACACTTGCTCCTTGGAAGGAAAGCTATGACCAACCTAGACAGCATGTTAAAAAGTAGACATTACTTTGTCAACAAAGGTCTGTCTAGTCAAAGGTATGGTTTTTCCAGCAGTCATGTATGGATGTGAGTTGGATCATAAAGAAAACTGAGCACCTAAGAATTGATGTTTTTATACTGTGGTGTTGGAAGACTCTTGAGTGTCGCTTGGACTCCAAGGAGATTCAATCAGTCAATCCTAAAGGAAATCAGTCCTGACTATTCATTGGAAGGACTGATGCTGAAGCTGAAATTCCAATATTTTGGCCTCTTGCTGCAAAGAGCTGACTCATTGGAAAAGACCAATGCTGGGAATGATTGAAGGCTAGAAGAGAAGGGGATGACAGAGGACAAGATGGTTGGATGGCATCACCGACTTGATGCACATGAGTTTGAGCAAGCTCTGTGAGCTGGTGATAGACAGGGAAACCTGGTATGCTGCAGTCCATGGGGTTGCAAAGAGTCAGACATGATGGAGCGACTGAACTTAACTGAAAGAAACACACATGAATTTTAAGAGTAATACCTTTTCCACGTATTAGTGGGGCAAATGTCCATGTTTCCTAATAGTCTGCTGGCAAGACTGTGGTGTCATTGGCTGATGGAAGAGCAAAATGGCCACCCTGGTTCCTCCTTGGACCTGCCATGCTTGCTCCTACCTCAGGGACTCTGCACTGGCTGCTTCCTCTACCTGAAACTTGACTTGCTCCTTCTAGTCAATCAAGGACCCGGCTCCTTTTCCTTTCCTCAGTGAGGTCTCCCTGATTGCCCACCCCTCCCCAACCAACCCCAGCATTACACTCATTTTCCTCATAGTGCTCATATTTATCTGTTTTCCTCTCTTCAGCTCGATCATAGATTAGCAATTTTTTCCTGAAAAGGGTCAGAATAGCTTAGACTTTGTGTGCCTTATGGTCTCCCTTGCAACTTCTCATCTCTGCTGTTGTAACACTAAAGAGCCATCATCAATGTGTAAATGAACAAGTGTGACTGTTTTGTTTGTTTGTTTTGGTGGCCTGTACAAGGAGTGTGACAGTTTCAATGAAGCTTTATTTGCAGACACTGAGGTTTGAATTTCATGTTAATTTTCAACAGTCACAAATTCTTCTTTTGATTTTTTTCCAATCACTTGGAAATGTATAAACCATTCTTAGCTTGGGGGACGAACAAAAAGGCACTGGACTGAATTTGGCCAGCAGGTCATATTTTGCCCTTTCTTGTGCTAGGACATCAACTTCAGGGATTATTGTCTGCTTGATCTGCTGCTATATCCCCAGCACCTAGAACAGCGCCTGGTTGCCAGTAGACTCTGGGAGATGTTTCCTGAGTGAGCCAGTGAAGGGATCTATGTGAGCTTTGTAGCCAGCTACTGAAGGGCAGAGAAGTGGGTGAACAGATAAGAGCTAGTACAGTCCTCCTGTCCATTTACCTGTGTGAACCTGGGAAGGCTCCCCTAAGAAGTCCCAGAAAGAAATGAAATACTGATGCTAGAGTTGCAATTTAGCATCTTTATTCTTCCCCTTTAGCTCAACGGTGATTCTGACAAACAGCTTCTACAAGGAGGAAGCAGAAAAGACTGGACTGGGCAGGGGTTCCCCAAGGACCTAGCCTCCTCCTCATCCTCCTGTAGGGTTGGGGTTGGGGTTAGAGTCATGATCTGAGCTTGGCATCCCCTGAGGAAGAACGGAGTGGACCACTCTTCAGCCTGTGGCCATACTGATGGGAACCGGGAGAGCAGTCCATCTCCCTCCACATACACGGGTGGATGCACACTGGGGCCAAGGTGAAGCAGGGCTTGGTCAGTGTCCAGATACATGGCTCTGGCCTGTGGCCCAGTTGGCAAACATGAAACCTAGGCTGATCGCCATGAAGAGGACCCCCAAGACACCAAAACACAGAGCCTGTGGGTGAGAGGGAGAAAAGATGGGGCTGGGTGTGTACCTACACCCATGCTCCCCCACCCCTCCAGAGAGTGCCGCATTCATTCTTGATCCTCCTTTTCTGCTCTCTCTCCTTCTTTTAAACCAACCCCTTCCTGTGACTCCTCCTTCCGTCTTCCTAGAATTCTTCAGGGAGTACTCTCCCCTATCTTTCCTGAAAATGTTCCAACCTTCTCCTAACAGTGCTCCTTCCATCTGTCTGAAGAATGCTTCTTCCACGCCAGCCCCTTCTTGAGTGCTTGCTGTCTTCTCAAACCCTTCTTGTGCTCTGTCTGCTCAGCCTCTTCCTATGACAATCTCCTTCATGCTTCTAGACCATCTGCCCTCTCTCCTCCAAGCCCCCTCTTGAAAATGTTCCTTCAACCCTTAGCTATCCTTGAATGCTCCCTCCTCAGAATGCTCCCTCTTTCCCCAACCCTCTCCTGGAATGCTCACCTGGATCTTGGGCCAAGAGTAGAGGGGCTCCACCTCAGAGGGCACAATGCGGAGTAGAAGATGCTGGGAAGGATGAAAATGAGGCTGGGGGCTGAGGTAGACCCTGAAGGACAAGCAGGAAGGAAAGAAGCAATATAAGATTGCGTACAAGGCCCATATTAGGTGGGGTCTGGGACTAGGGTTGGGGATACAGACTGATAACCCCAAAGATATCCCGGATGGTTGGCACACAAATGACAAGGACATTGACCAAGACAAGCAGGATCAGTGCTATGGCCACATGGCGTAGCCAGCTGAAGGCCTTGCTTGGAAAAAGTAGCTGCTGCAGAGCCCGGCAGATCTGTGACCAGAGTACAGTAGGATGAGGGTCAGGGTTCAAGCACTGCCTCCCCTTCTATGTATTTATCTGTCTCTAACACCACACAGTCTGAGACCCCTGATTTCTCCTCCATCTGACTCTACCTCCACTCTGACCATCCATCTATGCCTCTGCCTTCCAAATGAGCATCCTGCATCCCTTCTGCTTGACAGTCCGTGATCCTTCTGGGTGATCATCCATCTATGCCTCCACTCACTGTCTGAAATCTTGTCCTCCTCTGTCCAACTATGTCTGTCTCCTTCCTGACCACCCACATGTCCTTCCACCCTGGGGTCCCTGCCCCTCTCTCCTCATCTGATGACTTCCATCTCCCTCCTCTGTCTGCTCAGCCAACCTCTCCATCAGGGAGCCCTGTCCCTCCTACACCTCACTACTTCTGTCTCCATCCTTTATCTGTCCATCCCTATTTCTTCATCTTGAATATCCATCTACCTATGTCTCTGCCCTCTGTCTATTCCTGCCTCTCCCTTCTGTCTAGTCAGACATCTGTGCCCCCTCCCTAGAAATGACCAACACTGTTCTTCTGATTCTTTATATTCTGCCATCGATGTGCCCCTTGTGTCTGACCATCTATTTCAGCTCTCTCTGTCCATCTAACAGCTCTATTTTCCCTGTCTGTCCATCCCAGACTCTTCTATCCATCCATCTATCCACTCCTACCTCCACCCTCCATCCAAACATTCCTGCCTATACCCTCTACCCATCCATCCATGCCCCTCCACCCTGTAGGCCCACCCTCACCCCCAACATACAGGGAACAGCACGACTGGCACCGTGAGAGTCACAGCAAGCAGCACCGCTAGACATACACAGAGGATGAGCAGGTCATGCTGGCTGTACATGTGTAGCATCTCCGCCTCCACGCTGCCTGGGACATGGGACACAGGAGATGGGATGTGATTGGAGCACCAGGACCAGTGTCCCAGAAACATATATGTGTGCACACACATACACACGCACACACAGACAGTGACAAAATCTCCATGCAGGGTGTGTATAGTCCCTTTGGAAACCGTGGGCCTGAAAGCATGCAGGGAAAGTGCTGAGGCTCCTGCCTAGTAATCTACCCAGACCCCACCCTAGCTCTCTACCCAACCCTGGCCCCAGCCCCACTCACTGTAGAAGGTGAGGTATCCAAAGGTCGCCGTGAGCCCATACATGCAGAACATGGCCCCAGTGGACACATTGGCCACAGCCTGCATTCTGCGCTTGGAGGGCCTGAGGTATAGAGGTCATAGAACTGTCATGTCCAGACCGTGGGCTTGGTCCAGGCCCCTCCAAACCAGCCCTCACCCTCTAGAGTCTTCCCAGAGCTGCTGTTCAGCTAGTACACACTGGGATGCCCATCTCTGCCTCCCCTGTATTAGCCATGCCTCCTTTCTCTATCCATCCCTCTCACCCCATATGACCAACTCTGCATATCTCTCTGCCCATCTCTGTCTCTATTTTTCACTTGACTGTCACAGCCTCTCCCTCCATTCTGATTATCCACACAGTCCCCCCGATTGATCATTCACACATTCCTCCCATCATCACATTATCCCTGCCCTTCCTTCACACATCCATATCCCTCTCCATCTGACCTTCCCCATCTCCCCATCCAATCCACATATGCCACACCTTCATCTGATCTCAGCCTCTCCATTTGTCCATTCACACTTGTATTGGATGTTAAAAGGGTAGAATACTTAAGCCCCAATCAGTAAACAGTCACTGAGTTGCATCTCCCAAGGCCTCCCGGCCACCTCAAACCCCTCCCTTGGCACAATCTGGCCACAATCGAGCTGTACAGTACCAGGACTATGATAGACATTATGACTATCACCCCACCTGCTGCCCTATCACCCATGCCCACTTGCCTGCCCACTCACCGGCAGAGTTCTGTATAGATGGGCAGCACTTCAGGGTGGCAGACAAAGGCAAAAGCCATAATGGGCACTGTGTAGAACATCTGGGGGAATGGTCCAAGTACAGAGATTAGAGTCTAAGGGTTCCATCTTCTCCTCCCCACTCCCACAGCCCCACCATTGCCTTCCACATCAGACACATGGAAGCTCCCGATGTCCAATACCTGGCTCCACTCTGAGCAGAGTGCAGTGTGGGACAAAACCGGAGGACTTGCGCACAGTGCAAGGCATAGACATATGCCAGCACACCAATCTGTGAGTCAGCTGTGAACATCTGGGCCTCACAGCTTGTGTTGAGCCCCTGGGTGGGAAGGTTTGGGGAGCTCATGCTGTCCACTGCTGTTTCATTGTGACCTACAGTGCAGCCAAGCTGGAACTTCTTATAGATGACCTGGAGGAGGGAGGGTGGGGAAGTGAGGTTATGGGGAAGGCTATGTCCCAATGCCCCAAACCTTTTCTGTACTTTTGCATGTCCTTCTCCCTCAGACTCACCAAAATGAGGAAAAACAGCATACAGGTCAGAGAGAGACCACTGGTATACCCCAGGTAGCCTGCAAGGGGCAATATACAGAGTCTCAGAAATCAAGGGACCCCCCCCCCCCGAGCAAATATCAATCCCTAGTCTGATCTTCAATTCAAGGCCCCCTCACCCCAATTTTGCCACACTTTGCACAAACTTCTACCTGGACCAGCTCCCCAACACTTGACAAACTCCTATTCATCTGTTAAAACCCACACGAAACAAGCTCTCCCCTGTTATTCCACAGCCCTTAAAAATTGAGATTCTTTGAATCTGGCTCCCCTTCTCTAATTCCATCATCCAAATGACCAAGGCAGGAAGCCTTTTACCCAAGTGTCTCATGAGGGCCAGTGGCAGGATGATTAAAACACTGACAATGATGATAAGGAGGTTTCCCTTCAAGAATCAGTCCCCAAGGAGACAGGCAAACATGGTGACTAACTGCCTACCAAAGAAAACTGTCAAGCAGACACTCATAGAATACAGCCAGACAGGTTTCTGCACACAGTCAAGAGAGATGAGCTGACCCCTCCAGGTGGTTACAGAGACAAATGGGACAACAGGAATGACAGAAACAGTCAGACAGATTATCAGACTCTCAGCCACACACTGTCAGAGGGATATAGCTGGGAACACACACATAGCTGGACAAACTGTGTCATCAGACCTCAAGTGGACATACAGTGAGATGTATGTTGTGGGCAAACAACAGCCCACAACAGCCAGATTCACATTGTCCAACACAAGGTACCAGACACAGAGTGAGTCATGACCCTGGTACGTCTAACAGGTAGAACAACAGTCTGATGATCTCTTGATGATCTGCAGAGTCAACAAAAAGTCAGAAACACATATGTGTGATTGTTTGAACAACTCAAGGTTTGTTGAGCACTTGAAAGTAGTTGAGCCGATTTGGCCACAGAGTCAAAGATGGAAATTGAGACAGAATTAGCCAGCTGGCCATGCTGTTGGAACCAAGCTCAAAGAAAGAGAGGGATCTATACAGATATTGGAGGGAGGTGTCCAGGCAGGATAGTCTGTTAATACAGAATTGGCTGAACAATTGTTCATTTCTTCAAAGAATTTTTATTAAATAGTGTTTACTGTGTTCCAGGCATTCACATATTCCCTTCCTACTAGACACACAGTTACAAACCAACAAAGCACCACTGGTCATATATGCAGTGGAGCTAATTATAGCAATTAGACACATCTAGTCACATAGACTGTTAGCTATCTGAATGGCTTCAGGATCAAACCAAAGATCTAAGAGGATACGCAGAATCAGCTATCATATATAAACAACTGAAAAGATTCAGCCAACAGACAGATGCAGAATTAAACACACAATTGGCTGGATATATACTTGGAACAGGCAAACATATATGGTTGGAACCATAATACAGAAAACATATACAGTCACAGTTGAGGCTCACACACAAACAGTCAGAAAGAATTTGCCAGAACAATGGTAACCAAGTTAAACACAGAGAGTTAAACACAAATCATTTATACATTGGAGTAGGAAACAGCAACCCATTCCAGTATTCTCGCCTGGAAAATTCCACGAACAGAGGAGCCCTAATCGGCTACAGTCCACGAGGTCACAAAGAGTCCAACCTAACTGAGTGACTGAGCACACACGCACATGTATACATAGCTGGCGCCACGGTACACTGCACAAACACGTGCACATACTCTGCTTGAGTCAGTGACCATACACTTATACCTAGACAAATTCAGCCAAGCCTAATGGACCCAGAATCAAACAGAATCCACCGGACAGAGAAAGTCAGAGTAAGCAAATGTCAAACACACATGGTTGGAGTCACAGTATATAGGACACAGCTATAGTCAGCTAGCATACAGATGGCCAGAGAATCTGCCAGTACAAGAGTCACAGAATCAAACCCATGGACAGAATTTAGGTCTACTGGATAGGTGTAGCCACAGGGTCAACATGAGAGTACACTGGACACATGGAGTCAGCCAGAACAGTCACAAAAATCAACATGTGGTGTTACTGGACTCCACTAGCCAGAGCAACAGTCACACATACTGCTAGCATCACAGTACACAGGGATCACAGTCTGCCCAAACCGGCCTGCCCAACAGCCTCAAAAATAGAAGACCTGGGAGTCAGCTGGACATAGAATTGAAGCTAGCAGCCAGACCCCACAGGCAGAATCAGTGGCCTGTGGGTCAGAGCCAAGGGGTGTTGCACACTCACCCCTCAGGGTCCATGTCCAGGAAAGTGGCGATAACCAGGGGAAGTTCGGATTTGATGATGAACAGGTAACTGGACATGGTTGGTGCAGGTGGGGGCAGGTGTAAGCAGAAGCATTCCCCTCATCTCCCTCCCACCCCATCCTGGGGAAGCCCACCTCAGCCCACCCTCTTCCCCCAAGCTGACCCCCACGTGTCAGAGTCCTCACCCCCAACATTGTGCAGACAGATGACCGCTGCCACCACTACTTTCCCCGCAGGCCCCAGTGCCCTCTGTCCCAGCTGTTCATAGGCTCAGATGCCTGGAGGGGAGGGGACCAGACATGGACAGGTTGTGGGTCCAGGAGGCCAGGCCAGGGGTGGGAGAGCCTGGGAGCTAGGGAGCTGGGGCTTGGGCTAATTGGGTCTCATTGCTTGGAGCTGGAGGTGAGGGTTAGGTAGTTAGGATTGGGCTTGGGACTGGAGTCTGGCAGGTAGGATCTGTGGCCAGGGAGAAAGTTGGGGGCCAGATGTGGGTAGTGGGGGTCTTGGGGGTAGGAATGACGTCTGAGATCCAGGGCTGTGGCAGCTTGGGAGCTGGGGGGCCAGGGTCTTGGGTTGTGGGGCTGGCTTTCTTGCTAAGTAAGCTGGAGACTGAGGGTGGAGTGGAGTGGTCTGGGAATAGGGAGGGTCTGAGCAACAGGCTTTGATGGTCAGACTGAGGGCTGAGGATTGGTGCTTGGGAATCTGGGAGCCCAGATAAGGTATGAGACCCAGGGTACAGTCTGGGGTCTGGAGCCCAGAGAGTTGAGTGTGGTGTCTGGGGTTCTGGATCCAAGTTCTGAGGGGCCGGTCTTGGGTCTGGAGGCCAAGGTATAGGTGAGCTCTGGGTCTCACCTACAACACCAGCACATGTCAGCAGGAGATGGATGGAGTACGAAGACAGAAGAGCGATGCACAGCAACAAAGTCCTATGGCAGATGGCACTGCTCGGACTTGGCCTCCAGGCCTCCCAACTGGCCCCACAACACCCAGCCCCCACCCCAGACTGCCTAGGACTCACAGAAAGAGGAGGATCCCCGTGTGGGCCATGGCATAGGCCAGCCCCAGGATGCTGCTGCCCATGATGGCATTGCTGAGGTTGAACACTGACATTCCAAACGATGTCTTCCCCTTGACCTGCTGGTAAGGGGCAAGGCCCAGGGGACATGGGGAGGGGGACCAGGTAAGGAGACTAGGGACGGAGACCAGTGCTGGGGCCTTGGGAAAGGCTAGGGAAGAAGTGATGGGGGCAGGGAGAAACCCAGGAAGAGCCATCAGAAGAAGGAAAAGAATTTGAAGATGGGAAGAAGCTGGGAAAGGGAGAGTGGGGAAGGGAGATTCTAGAGGGGAGCAGCTGGAAGTAGAGAGGAACAGGGGAGGGTGGGACAGAGACCAGAGGCTAAACAGCCAAAGGGAAGTGCCGGGGAAGAGGGAGCAGTAGGGGAGGGGCTGAGTTGGGCAAGATACAACTGGGATGGGTCCTGTGGGGTCACTCACATCCATGAACTGGGCCGGTTTCCTCCCAGGAGAAGGACTACGGCTGGGCAGGAAGCCCTCATGCTCCTGCCTGCAGGTAGAATAGGCAGAGAAATTGAGGAGGTGATGAGAAGGTAATTCTGACCCCTGACCTTGACCCTTTGGGCTCCCAACTCACTCCACAGCACTCCCAGGGAGGGCTCCGTTCATCTTTGGATCCTGCAGTTCCATCCTGTGGGCAGAGAAATGGGGCAGGGGGGTCAGTTATGGAGCAGGGCAGCTTACAAAGTGGGGAGACCTAGATGAAGAGGACTGGGGCTCTGATGGCGATGGACAGATACAGAAACAGAGACACAGATGAGGTGAGGGGAACAGGGACAGAGGGATGAGAGAGACAAGAAGGAAAGTGGAGAGGATTGGAGACAAGAGGGAGAGGCTGAGGGAGAAAGAGATGGGAGAGAGACAGAAGGGAATCAGAGAGGGAGAGACGCCGACAGTTTACTCATTGAGACACGGAGAAAAAAGAAGGCAACCAGAAATAAAGGGGTAGGGACAGAGACAGAATGAGAGATACCGACCCCTCAGCAGATGAGATGGCCATCTGGAGTGGGGACAGCCTCTCCTCTCAGACCGCAGACTCACTCTCTCTTGCTCTCGGTTTCTCTCCTTCCCCATCCCCCGAGCACCTCCTCCTTCCCTCCACCCTCACCGCGTAGTTAGGCCTCTCACTCCCGACAGGGACACGTGTCAACCCGACTGTCCCACCCCTCCTAACGCCCCCTACCCCCCTCCTCCCCGCCTGGGCCGCCAGCCTGAGCAAGAGCTGATGCAACCTGTTGAAGGGGCTGGGGATGGGGTGTGAAGGGGCTGGGGATGGGGTGGGGGGCAGGCTCGGCGATCCCAGTCCTGCCAGGGTCAGGACACGGCAAACTGCTCTCTGCCACAACTCTGAATATTCTCGCTAGAGGCCAAAGCCAATTCTCCAAACTGAACCCCCTTCCAGGGATAGAAGTGACCCGGGGACTCCCATATAATTCCCCTCCTAGGGACTAGAGAGGTATTCTCCAGGACCGTTGTCAAGTCTTATACACCCTTATTTTAGTAGAAGTCACTTTAGAGACACTTTCAGGCTTGAGAATTTTTCTGAACTTGGGGTGTCTCAGGAACCTCGCCTGAGCCCTAATTTCCCCTCATGAGGAGAAGTGGTCCCTCAGACAGTCATCAAAAGCCCACTCCCAGCGCCTGATGTGTTTCCTGGGATGGGGTGTCTCTGCAATCCCCATGCAAACCTGGAGTCCCCCTCTTCTGGATGGGGTATCTCTAAAGAAACCCCCCAGCCCTGAACTCACTTCCTGGGAATGCTGTATCTCAGAAAACCCCATTCAAGGTCCCCATCATCACTAAAACTGCCTCCAGGAAACCCCCTACCCAAGCCCCGAATCCCCTCCGTAGGTAAGGGAAGGCTCTCAAGGAGCCCCATCGTCAAGTATGAGTACTCTTTCAAGACTCCCACCCACTCCTGGATTCATTTCCTGGGATCCGGGAACCAAAAGGACTCCCCCTCCCATTTAATTCCTCACTAGGACTAAAAAAATCTCCAGGAAAACCCTGAGCCCCCTCCCGGGACCCCTGTTCGTGCCTTGGCCTCTCAGGAGCCCCCTCGATGGCCGGCAGCCCCTCCTCACCTCCCTGCTCTTCTCAGCTCTTGAAGCGGCAACTCAGAACTGGGGCTCTGGGACCCTTCCACCAGGCGGTAAGGCTCCCACTCAGCCAGACCCTGCCTTCGCCTGCCCTCTGACCAATCAACACCTCGGGTTTTGTTGGTGGCTAATCAGCACTGCCGGTGCTCCATCTGCCCCGCGGTTTTTTGTTTTTTTTTTTTTTCTCCCCTGTAAAGTTTTAACTTTTATTCAGTTTCCCTCTTCTGGTTCTGAGTGGGGGAAACAGAGGGGTTGCCTCCCTTCATCTGAACCCACGTTGAAGGAAACAGTTTTCCCGGGCAGGCGGTGGAGATGGACTGAAAGATCAAGGGAACAGACACACATCTAGAAAGGAAAAGACAGACAGAGGGAACTGACTCAGGTCAGACACACGGAAGAATGGGATGGATGGCAGGAGAGAGACAGAGATAGGAAGAGAAATGATCTCAAATAGAGACGAGCAGGCAGAAGAAATAGCACAAGGACAGAAAACAAGAAGGGGTAGAAAGACACGGGGAGTGTGAGGGAGTGATAGACAGGCAGCTGAGCAGTAAGAGGAGAAAGACTCAGAAACGGTGGACAGGGAGAGGCTCATGCAAGCTCCTGGACAAATGCAGATGGACAGGTGGACACAGCCAGGCACATCCACAAACAGAGATTCAGAACAGACACACTGGCCCAAAGGGACAGAGCAAGTGGCTGAGGCTGAGAGACACATAGTGGGATAGGTGGCAACAGGGCAGAGAAAGTCAGATTCAGGCAGAAGAGCAGACAGATCTGAGGACAGCAGTGGGACAGGTGCAGAGAGAGACACAGCTAGGCCACCATAAGCTGACCTCAGACAGATAATCCAATGGAGAAAGGACCCTAGATCTTGGGGGTCCCCAGAGGGAGGCAGGGAGGGCATTTGTAGTTGGGTGGAGAGTGTGGATACATGCTGTCTGTAAATTAGGCACGCCCTGAATTCCTGGACCCCAGCCTAGGTGTTGGGTGGAGCCTGTCCACACCCTAACTGAGGAGTCCCACTGTCTGTCTGTCTGTCTGTCTCTCTTAAATAGGGGTCTGTGTGTTGACTCCATTCGGGCATGTGACAGGCACGTCTGTTTCAGGCGAAGCATGTGTCTCCTGCAGGAAGTCAGGCGGGTGGACATGGGGTCCAGGCCCCACTTGACTGGGCTGCTTGAGGCCCAGGTGGACAAGAAGCCTCGGTCTTGGCCCCTCCACCCACCTGCTTGGCCCCCACAGGGAGCACAGAATTCCCGGAAACACCAGGGGCTGGCTAGGGCTTCAAAGCTAGCCTCGAGGCTTCCACCCCACTGGGAGTGGGAGGAGGGTGAGGGATGGGGCATTTCCTTCCCCACAGCAGGAGAAGAACTCTCAAACACTCAGGGATCATAGCCCCATCCGGGGGCTTAGAGATGGAGGCAGACTCACCACCACCCACAGAGGTACACAAACTCCCGTGTAGACTCACAGCCACATACACAGAGTACAGGCTGACTGATTCGAACACACACAGACTCCACATGGAGAGCCAAGGCGATGGGACAGCTGCGCAGAGGGACTTAGTCTTATAAGTATCGTCATCCACAGCCTCAGTGCTGCACATGGAGATAACAGACAGATACAGGAATAGGCTCACACTGCTTTACTGCTACTGCAGACTCACAGATATCATCGTCACCCACAGACTCACAGCCACTTTAAAGAGAACCAATGGGCAAATCACACACAGATTCACAGCCACACACAGAGCCAGAACACACAGACAAATACAATTCCACATAACCAACAACATTATACATAGTCCCAGCATCTCCCACACACATGGTTCCAGGTTCAGATGACCCTGGAGGCCAACATTCAGGTTCAGCATCTATAGAGATACCTCTGTGCATGTGAACTTGTGTATGAACTTGTGACCACATACAGCTCTGGTCAGAGAAAGACGCACCCACAGGCAGACACGATTGTAGAGACAGAGAAGCTGCAGTCACAGATACATGCACAACTGCACTCAGGAAAACAGGGGCACACAGCTGTGTATACACAACTATTCACACAAATTAAGTCAGGGAAGATGTGCACAGAGAACACACATATAGGCACACAAACGGGAGAAACAGGGATGCAGAAAGTACACTTACTATCAATACAAAGAGGAAATCCATAAAATACACCTAAAACTGCTTGAAGAAGAAACAAAGGAGCATTTGTTTGCACCAGAGGAAATACCCTTAGGACACACATTCCAGTATTCTTGCCTGGAGAATACTCATGGACAGAGGAGCTTGATGAGCTACAGCCCAGGGGGTTGCAGAGAGTTGGACATGACTGACTGACTAAGCACACATAGGGCATACACACCTACAGCCACTCACAAGTAGAGACACAAACATGGTGACAGAGAAGAAAGACACACAGACATCAGAGACAGATGCACAGAGAAGAGACAGACTTCTCACTCATGAGCATTACAAAGGAGACACAGAAGCACTCAGAGAACACACACACAGCCTCATAAAGATGAACTGCACAAGCAGATGGGACCAACACACAGTTGCCAAAAAGGAAACACAAGTTGGATAGGCAACTGTGGACACAAGACACAACCAGGCAAGTAACATACTAAGTAAGACACATGTGGAGCTCACATACATGTGTTTGTGGCTGGGACCACGTATAGGCAGCTGAGATACCCTCAGGGTATTCACAACACATGCATGCATGCATGCACGCACACACACTACTCCCCTGTCTATCTGGGCCTACTGTGTCTCTAGTCTCGCTCCTCTTCCCCCCAAGAGCCATTACACACCTGTGCCCCAGGCCAGCCAGGGAAAGAGACACCTGTCAGCCAAGACCTTGGCCCAAATGACTAGGGGGTGGGGGGATGAGGACTGGCTAGGCCGGTGTCTAGATTTCAAGAAAAGTCTGAAGTATCCTGTCCAAAGAACTGGTGAAACTTGGACAAAAAACAGATGCCCTCACCCATTACCACCCAGCAGCACCTTTGTACTCTGATCATTGTCCTCCCCTTCCAGGGCCACCCAGGCCTTTAAATATTGCCCAGCACAGGGCCACCCGGGTACATGGCAGGAGGTCGATAAATGCTACTTATCAAGTGTCATATTATCATCATTATTATTTTCATTTCTGCCTAGTGAACTCTTCTAGGGGAGGAGCAAGCCTTCATCCAGCTCTACACCCCATCGCTCAGCTAAGTTTCAGGGCACTGCAAATAGCAGGTGTTCCACATATGCTGGTAGGAGGAAAAACAAAGGGAAAGTGAAATCTGGCTGCAGAGGCAGCCTGCTTTAGAAGGAACAGATGTCTTTAAGCTTGACTGAGGCCTTGAGGCTGTGCCAGGGATAAGAACATGGTATTCGTTCATCAAAGTAGGGCCCTTTCTAGGGGTCATTTAAGGCTTTTGTTGGTTCAGTAAAGCAGACCCTCGTGTGACATTTGGGATTGCTATCAAATCTATTAAAAGTTGGTTTAAGTTCTTGTCAGTTCTTCTAAGCAGACCCCTGCTTTTCATTAAATCACTGCACAGCAGCCTTCAGGGGAGGGAACCATGGAGCAAAGCAGTTAATAGCTTGAGTTTTCCCAGCTCTGCCACTTAGGAGCTGAGTGGCCAGAAGCAAGTCTCAAAACCTTACTGTCAAGCTTCCCACGGGGCTAAGTACTGCCTAACTCAGGATCATGGGGAAGATTGAAGGAATTAGTACAGGTAAAGCACAAGCACTAAGAACTATGCTTGACATACAGTAATTGCTCAATAACATCTTTGTGAAAGGAATTAATAAACTCTTCTCCACCAGTGAAAGCAGTCCCCCACTCAGCTAGATTTAGGATTCTAATCTCTCCTTTCAGGCAGGCTCCCCATGAACAACTTTTCTGTCCCTCAAAGCAGCCCCTGGACGGCAAGACTTCTTGTCAGTGTCTGGTCCCCTGCGCCTGGACACCGGCCCCCCACCCCCACGTTTCCCTCACGTGGTAAGATGCCCTCCAGCACAGGGCTGGCCTGGCAGCTCCCCTCTCTTTGACCTTTTCTGGAGGCTGAGGGGAGGACAACTTTACACTCAGTGGGGTGCTGGGTGGGAGTTGCAGGCAGACACCTCACTTTGGGAAGAGCCTGGAGAATTCAGAACTTGGCTCCTGTCCCCCAACCCCTCCCAGCCCTGCTGGAGGAAGCAAGTTTCTTTGCAAAAAGTTAAACATCCTCTTTGTGAGAGGCAAGAAAACAGGACGTGGGAAGCGTCCCACAGGGTGAACCTGGACCCCCAATGCCTGGCACCTCCTCCTTTCTGTGGAGCAGCACCTGGTGGCTTGAACCCTTGCTTTCTCACACATGCTAACCTCTGAAGGGGGGGCCATGTTCCCACTGCCCCCCACAATGCCCTTGAACTCCAGTGACAAACTCTGGCTTCCTCTTTGGCTCTCCAGGGTTTGTGACTGGCTGTCTACACCTCCTCCCAGGGCCCCACATAAATGCAGAGCATACCACTAAGGAAAGAGTGAAGGAACAAAGCAATAAAGGGGTGAATTCAGCAAACATCTATTGAATACAAATGTGAGCCCTATTCTAGGTGCCAGGGAGGCAACAGTAAACAAAACAAAAGAAACCCCTGCCTAGCAATGCTCACATTTCTAAGGAATGATGAATTGGTTGTTCAGTTCTTTGGATACTCGCCAAGCTCATTCCCACCTCAGGGTCTTTGCTCTTGGCGGTCCCTCTGCCTGGAATGCTCTTCCTCCAAATATTCATAGCATGTGCTCCCCTTCAGGCTCAGCTCAAATTTCACCTCTCCTCTGAAAGCCTTACCTGACCACACTAAAATAGCAATTCAACCCCTGTAACTCTCCATTCCTTTCATCCTTTATTGTTCTTCATAGCTTTTATCACCACCTGACATAACATTATTTATTTATATTTAGTGCAGTTACTTTAGTAAGGCGATATATATAGCAGATTTATATATATATATAGGCATATACATTTATATAAGATGATATATATATTGTATATATACTATACAAAATGCAAAAATATATTCTATATTTCCATATAATGGCATACATATATTGTATTGTTTAGTGAAAGTGAAGTCGCTCAGTCCTGTCCAACTCTTTGCGACCCCGTGGACTGTAGCCTACCAGGCTCCTCCGTCCATGGGATTCTCTAGGTAGGAATACTGGAGTGGGTTGCCATTTCCTTCTCCAGGGGATCTTCCCGACCCAGGGATCGAACACAGGTCTCCTGCATTGCAGGCAGACGCTTTAACCTCTGAGCCACCAGGGAAGCCCATTGTATTGTTTACTAATATATAATTTATATACCAGTAAAAATTAGACATCACTATATATTTCTATGTCACCATATACATAGTAAATGGCATGTGTTTACATATCTAATATTATATGCATGTATACATATCCTCCTTTTCCTCATCTGTAAACGGGGGAAACATAGCTATTATTAAACATGAAATTGTATAAACTTACAACTAAATTAAATTCTGAAAGGTGATACTCAAAATTCATCACTTATTATTTTACTACATTTCATTATTTCTATGCTCCTGAGAGATCATTTATCCCTGTTTTATTTGTACAATAGAGATAATACACATGGTGCACTACTGCATCTCTTCTAGACTCCGTGTTCCGTGACTACACCTTGGTAAGCTGAAATCTGACAAGATAATAGTATGTAAACCATGGAAACTGGCAAATGTTAGAAATCAGGGCTTCCTTTCCTTCTCCACCTAAATAAATGCTTAACCATTTACCAGCACATCACTGAGAGCACTCAGAAGAGTGCCTGGCACATGGTAAATGCTATAATGTATCCATTACTATATTTGCTTGTGCACTGAGTCCAGACGGAGTCTTTTTTCTAGGTCCGAGTTAAAAGTGTTTGAAGAACACAGAATTACAAAGAATTAGTGTGCTCAACTGCACCTATTTAATCTTCCCAGTAACTCTAGGTGGAGCCTGTACTATTTATTATCCCCTTTCTACAGAGAGAGAAACCGAAGTTCTGAGAAGGTAACAATCAGAATGAGCTATCATTTGGCGGAAGTGAGATTTGAAATCGCAGACCAGTAGCTTTCGCGCGGCCGCGCACTTAACTAACGCACTCTCCTTCCTCTTAAGTTCACCACCCCAAAGGTAACTGCACTTCGCGAAAAATAAGTAGGTACCGGCGTACGCATAGTGTCTTGGGAAATGTAGTTCACAGGCTCAAGACATACAGTTGTCCTAGAAGGGAGGGGCGGAGAAAAAAAGGCGATTTTTCGCTTTATAACAAAAGAGCACAGTCAGTTCTCATGCCTCGCGACATTTCGGCCTCGCCGTGCGAGACTTCGGCGGCTTTATTCGGCCCGTTGCATGCTGGGAACGGCAATTCGCCAGACCGGCTACGTCGCCAGGAGTTGCCGGAACTCACGTGGTAAGTTCAGGTCCGGTCCCGGCTTCGCGCGAGCCACCGCGTTCCACGATGACAGGCGTGGCACACTCTGGTCGCCGTTAGGCATGCGCTGTTAGGCACGCGCAACAGACTTTTGGAGCAACTAAGAACCCAAACTGAAAACCTACGACTTCTTACCGGTTTGCGCTCTCGCCGAGGCTTGTGCTGCTCACGGACCTTCGTTCCTTTTCTCCCCACTCCGAAGGTTGGAGGTAGGCCCTGGGGCGCAGAGGACTTGGTCCCGACTGAGACAGTTAAGGCATGCCTGCACTGTCCCGCGAGTGAGGGAAGGAGGGAAGTTCGCCCTTGGTGCTGCAACTGTGCAGTTTGGGCAGCTGGCATTGGGTAGGCTCCAGACCCAAGGTTTGTTTGGAGAATAGGACCGCTCCTGCGGGATGGGCTAGGGGTGGGGGACGGGGCCGCAGGTGTCCAGATACCGGCGGAGCTGCCTTGAAGGGGGTCTCGTGGTCCCAATGGGGACTTGGGCTTTGAGGTTATGATGAGGAGGGACCGGTGGTGTAGCCAGAGGGTAGGTGTGGAGGTTTGGTGGGCTGCGTGGGTGTAATAGAGGTCTGGTGGGAGTGTTATTGGGGAATCAGTGGGGGCTAATAATTGTGTTTTAGTCGATGTGTTCATGGGGGCCGGTGGGGATGTGTTCGTTAATTAATGAGGGGATGGTAGAATGGGCAACTGGAAGATAATGGGAGGCAAGTAGCAGTGTGATCCCTGGGGGACAGATGGAGTTATGACATTCAAGAGTGATGGAGCATAGTGATTCAAAGGATAATGGTGAGGCTGTGGAGGGAATACTAGAGGTGAGGGTCATGATCAAGGAACTAATGGAATAGTGATCAAATAAGAGAGAATGGGAAGCTCACGGGGTATTGTGATCAAAGGATTTTAGTTTGTGATGATGGCATGATCATTGAAGAAGTAATGAGAACAGAGGGAGCAAAGAGAGGGTAATAGTAAGCTGTTGGGTGTGATGATCATAAAGTGATTTGATTACTGGGTGGGGAGACAGGTGGGCAGTGAGGGGAGAATGGAGAACTGATGTATGATTATCAGGGATTAAGGTGAGTGTGGTAAGAAGAGTTACGAGGGTCTAGTGATCTGTGAAGGAGCCATTGGAGGGCTGAGCTAATGGGGGCTGATAAATCATAGTAACTGAGAGTTTAATGGGGAACTAATAGCCCATGATCCTCCAGGTATTAATGGGGGGTGATAAAAGAATTATCGGGCTTCCCAAGTGGCTCAGTAGTAAAGAATCTGCCTGCAATGCAGGAGATGTGGGTTCAATCCCTGGGTCAGGAATATCCCCTGGAGAAGGGATTGGTTACCCACTCCAGTATTCTTGCCTGGAAAATCCCATGGACAGAGGAGCCTGGCAGGCTACAGTCCATGGGGGTCACAAAAGAGTCGGACACGTCTTAGCGACTAAACAACAACAAAAGGAATAATTGGGGACCTAATCATTTCAGGGGAGAGAGATTAAGGAGGTGGGGAATGCAGTGAGGTAGTGTGAGGGTAATGGAGTGAAAACAGGGGATTAATGGGGCCTAGTAGGGCTTGGACATGAGTTTGAGTAAACTCCGGGAGTTGGTGATGGACAGGGAGGCCTGGCGTGCTGTGATTCACGGGGTCACAAAGAGTCGGACACGACTGAGCAACTGAACTGAACTGAGTAGGGCTTTATGACTAGGGGTAGCGAGGAGAGCTGGGGGTGGTGGTGAGATGTTATTGGGGATAAGGTGGGCAGAGAAGGGTTGATGATGAGACTTGCAGGGTTTAATATGTGGAGTGTAAATGACAGCAGTGGGAGGTGGACAGGGTCAGTAACATCATCTATGTGATAAGTGTTGGGTTTGTGGGACTTTGGGGGGGTCTGTTGGTTTAGTGATGGAATCTGTAGGGTGAGCAGTGGAGCCTGAGACCTCGGTGATGGGGTCCTTCAGGCTCGGTGAGCTCAGTGGGTTAGTGACTGGGCTCCAACCTCGCCACCTGTTGAGAGAGCTGTCACATTGATCAGATGAGCCTGGTTTAGTTCATGTGGTTCTCACAGCCCTGCAGAGATAGGTAATGGCCCACTCACCCACTTACTGATATGGGACAGCATCAGCTTACTGTTGGCAGGTCCCTGGGCAAACAGTGTGGGAGATGGGACGGACGTCAAAGGACAAGCGAGATGTCTACTACCGCCTAGCCAAGGAGAATGGCTGGCGTGCCCGCAGTGCCTTCAAGCTGCTACAACTTGATGAGGAATTCCAACTCTTCCAAGGTCCCCATTTGGCGGGCGATTCACTGGGGGATGGGGTGGGCGAAGGGAATAGACAAGTGGGCTAGGTCTACAGAGCTCCGTGTGGTAGGTGGGCTGACTTGGAGGGTCCTTGGGGCAGTCAGGAAGATGGCAGGTACTCAAAAGGATCTGGGCAGCAGGTAGATACGGGTGCTTGGGTGCTTCCTGGGGGAAAGGGGTAAACTTTGCAGGGTCCCAGGTTGGAGAGGTGGGTGCAGCTGACCAGTGCACCTTCCTGTGTGCGCTCAGGTGTGACGCGGGCAGTTGACCTGTGTGCGGCCCCAGGCAGCTGGAGCCAGGTGCTGAGCCAGAAGATTGGGTGAGTGTGGAGTCCCAGATGGGAGGCTGGGAGGGAAGACTAGGTGGAGGGTGGACCTGGAGTAAAAACTGGGCTGACATGGACTGTGTTGTCCACAGGGGCCAAGGGTCTGGCCACGTGGTGGCTGTGGACCTTCAGGCTATGGCTCCACTACCAGGTGTGTTACAGATCCAGGGGGATATCACCCAGGTGAGAGCATGGCTGGGGGTGTTGGGGTGTATCCTGGACAAAGGCCCCCCAAATCTGGGGTTTGCAGCAAGTGGAAGAAAGAAAAAGTCAAAGAGACCAAGGAAGACAGACAGAGGTATAGTAACCGAGAGAAACCAAGAGAGGATAACAGCAGAGGAACAGAGCCAATGAGTTGTCATCACAGAGAGACAGCAAAAAAATATTCCCAGCGATGGAGCCCAGTCTCAGGCAAAGCCTGAGAATTTGGCTGACCTAATGCTGCAGGCCAGGGCCAACGACAGGTGGGCTTAGAGGGCTGTGGTGGGGGTGCTGTGGGGCCACTCATCATCCCTCTCTTCCATAGCTGTCCACTGCCAAGGAGATCATCCAGCACTTTGAAGGCTGCCCCGCGGACCTAGTGGTGTGTGACGGGGCTCCTGATGGTAAGCAGCAGGGATTGGGAGGCCAGGCAGGGGGTCCTTTGCATGTTCCTCTCTGTATGTCCCACCTCTATTGGCTTCTTTTATTGCTTCTTCCCTGCACTGTCAGCTGTTCCCACATCTGGCAACTTTTCCCTACCTCTGTTTCCTGTTCTCTGCCTCTGTCTTCTACTGTTTGGGTTTTGTCCATCCTTTTGTCATCTCTCTGCAACTGTTCCATTACTGTTCACTTCTTTTTTTTTAAGTCAGCCATCTATCCATCCATTCAGCACATTTACTGAGCATCTGTCTTGTGTCAGACCCTGTTATACATGTTGGGAGGATAACATGAATAAAATTCTACTAATCTCTGACCTCATAGATCTGGTGTTCTAGTGGGAGCAGACAGAAAAGAAACAAATGATTGTACTATATAGCATGTCAAAAGGTGATAGGCACCATGGGGAAATAATGAAAATGAGAGGGAGGGAGGAAATACCTGGAGGAATTTTAAGTAAAGTGGAGAAGGCCTCACTGCCTTTAGCATAAAGACCTAAAGCAGGCAAGGGAGTGGGCTAGGGCACATCTGGAGAAAGAGCAGTCCAGGTAAAGTGATTGGCACATACACAGGACTTGAGGTAGGCAGATGAAGAGTGAGATCACTGTGGCTGGATCAGAGTAAGCAAGTGTGAGAGTGGTAGGAGGTAAGGTCAGTGAGGTGGTGGGAATCAGATCCTCAGGTGGATCTTTCTGGGCCACAGTGGTGACTGGATCCTTCGCTAAGACAAGAGCATGGAGAAAGCCATGGGATGGTTGTGAGCAGAGGAAGGCCATGCCTGACGTGTGTCATGACAGGATCCCTCTGGCTGCTGTGAGCAGTGTGAGGGCTGAGACCTGGGGAGGGGAGGCCACTGTAGTCATCCACGTGAGTGGCTGATGGTGGTGGAGATGAGTAGAGGAGATCTTTTGAAAGTAGAGTTGAGAAAGTTTGCCAATGGCTTAAATGTGGGTGTGAGAAGAGTGGGAGGGGGTGTGTGTATCAAAGGTAACTACCTTGAAGGTTTTGGCTTGAACAACTGGAAGGATCAGATGAGATGGGGGAAATGATGGGAGGAGCAAGTTCCAGCAAGAAAGTCACGAGTTTGTTTTTGGATGTGTTGCATCTGAGATGTTCGTTCTGATCTGGATCTGGACTGGAGATAGAAGAAACAATACTCATGCCTAAGATTGTTTTGAGATTGAAAATGAGTGCCTTAGGCTTAGGAGATCAGAATATGCATCCAGTTGGCAGATGTAGTCATTTGCATGCAGAACCTTAGCAGTAAGAGAGCTTGGTAAATGTTTTGAGCGCTCTAACCTCTCTGGGACAAGAAGATAGCTAGACTGTATGGCCCCCTAATGCTGTTCCTCTTGCCACAGTAACCGGCCTCCACGATGTTGATGAGTATATGCAGGCCCAGCTCCTCCTAGCTGTGAGTAACCCTGGCTGTCCCTACCTCAGTTTGGCCCCCTCCTGGCTGTCTCTACCTCAGCCTTAGCCATCTGTTCTGCCCATAGGCTCTGAACATTGCTACACACGTCTTGAAGCCAGGGGGCTGCTTTGTGGCTAAGGTAAGTCTCAGGGAACCTGATAGGGGGTAGAGAGGAGTCCCCAAAGGTCATCCTCATGCCTCCATCTCTGCCTCCCCACCCTGCAGATCTTCCGAGGCCGGGATGTGACACTGATCTATAGCCAGCTGCGTGTCTTCTTCTCCAGCGTGCTCTGTGCCAAGCCCAGAAGCAGCCGGAACTCCAGCATTGGTCAGTGGGGTGGAGGGGCCGGGCAGGGGTTTCGAATCTCAGGGACCCATCCCACATGGAGTGGAGGCAGCAGTTGCCCCTCACTCCACCTTCTCCCCATAGAGGCCTTTGCTGTCTGTAAGGGTTACGACCCCCCTGAGGGCTTCCTGCCGGACCTGACCAAACCCCTGCTGGACCACTCTTATGGTGAGAGCCCTGGGCCCCATCCCTGGGGAGAGTCTGTCTGCCGGTGAAATTTTATGTCCCAGGGGGCCCTTAGCCCCATGCCCTGGTAAAACCTTGCCCCTCAAGGGAATGCTGTCCCAAAAGGATCCTCAGCCCCACCCTCTGGAAATTCCACTCCATAGGGATATTTTGGTCTAGGAGGATCTTCGGCTTAGTTCCCTAGTGATGACTCTTAGACCTGGTGAAAGTTCTGAGTCCTACCCCAAGGGACACTCCACCTGTCTAAGGAGTTTCTCGCCTAGGAAGACTCAGTCACACCCGTAGGTAGAAACCCTACCTCTGTGTGGGAATTTTGTCTTGTGAGAGCCTTCAGCCTGGCCCCTAGAGGGAAAAAGCACAAGGCTGCTCTTGTGTCAAGCATGCTTGAGTGAGAGAAAGTCCTGGCAGCGTATGGCAGGTGGCCATACGTGCAGTGGGAGTAAAGCAGGTGGGGGAGGGCTGTTTTAGAATGGGTGATCATGGAGGGCTTCCCTGAGGAGGTGATCTGAACCAAATGAAGGATTTCTGGTGCAGGAGTGTAGAGAGTAGCTGGTGAACATGTGAGGGAGGCCTCCGTACCCATCTTGGGTGCAGCCTGAGTCACAGCTGACCCCAGACACCCTGGCCCTGTCTTGTCTCATCTCTCCCTGCTTGTCAGATCCACATTTCAACCAGTTGGATGGCCCCACCCGCATCATTGTGCCATTTGTGACCTGTGGGGACCTGAGCGCCTATGATTCAGACCGCAGTTACCCACTGGACGTAAGTGCCCTGCCAACAGTGGGTTGGGTGGGAGGTGCTATCCTCTGTTCCCATGTCCTCACCATCCCTCCCAATGTGTGTCCCTGCAGCTAGAGGACGGCTCAGAATACAAGTACACTCCACCCACGCAGCCCCCCATCTCACCACCCTACCAGGAGGCCTGCGCATTGAAGAAGAAGGGGCAGCTGGCCAAGGAGATCTGCCCCCAGGACTGCCCCATGAGCACAGTGGACATGTTGCCCCAGTCCCTGGCCACCCCACAGCGCTACACCCTGCAGACATCTGAGGTCTGAAAACATGGACCCAGAGCCCTCAATGTCCACAGTGACCCCCTCCTCATGTGCTTCTTTCTGCCCCAAATCATGTGGTATCTGGGACAAACTTCTGTTTCCTACCTCCCAATAGCTCTAAAAATCAATGGGTAAACCAAGTATAGTGAGCAGAAAAGCGTAACCAAATATCTGAGTCTCTCTTCTTTTTCTTGGGTAGGTGGAAGACAGTGGAGTGAATTGCTCGTCTTAACACGTTAAGGTAAATTTGCCTTTTTAATCTAAGAATTTGAGTAAACAGCACCTTTAAGAAAAAACTGAGTAAAATTCTACTTTTTGAAATTTTTACATCAACTGGTAAGATTTCAGTCAGCAGACCTTTACTGAAACTCCTGATGTTATGTGCCAGGAACTGCCTTAATGATTTTACACATTGAGGTACTCAGAAAACGTTTATTGGACACATGCTATGTGCTGGGCATTGTTTTAGATTTGAAGATGGATCAGGGAACAAAACAGGCAGATTCCCTGACCCTCAGAGCTTCTAGTTTAGGAAAGAGGTAATAATTCACAGTCTGAATGCAGGAGTTTCCACACACACATACACATACTATTTATCTTGTTCTCTCTATGTCCACCCATATGTATATAATACGTAAAAGTAACCTGGGATATTAAAAAATTTTAAAGCAAGGTAAAGAGATAAGGGCTTCACAGATGGTGCTAGAGGTAAAGAACCCACTTGCCAATACAGAAGACATAAGAGACACAGGTTTGATCCTTGGGTCAGGAAGATCCCCTAGAGAAGGGCATGGTAACCCACTCCAGTATTCTTGCCTGGAGAATCCCATGGACAGAGGAGCCCAGTGGGCTACAGTCCATAGGATCATAACAAATCAGACACAACTGAAGAGACTAAGCACGTAGCACACAAGAGATTAAGAATTCTAGGGTCTGGCAGTTTGCAGTTTTTAAAAAGGTTATCGTGGAAGGTCTCACTGAGGTAATGTTTGAGCAGAGACCTGAAGGAGATGAGGGAGGGAATCCATGTATTAATCTAGGGTAAGAACATTCTAGGGAGAGGAAATAGCAAGTGCAAAGGCCCTGAGGTGAAATGGTGGGGGAGCAGTGAGGAGCCAGTCTGCCTGGAATAGTCTGGGCTAAACCTGTCAGTGCTAGAGGGCTTCTCATCCTCAGGACACCACGTTAGAGGACATCCCTGTCTGACAATGGCTTTGCAGTTTATTCAGACCAAGTCTACCATTAAAATAAGGAGTAAAAAAGACACCTTAAAAAAATGAAATGGCAGATCACAGTGGGAAAAGATTTATAATCTGTACATGTATAGTATCCATGATATTTAAAAAGCTGCTATAAATCAATAAGGAAAAGAAAATATGAGCATGCCCAGTAAGTACATGAAAAGCTGCTCTTCAGAGAAATACAAGCTAAAACTAAAGAGATTAACAATACTAAGTATCTGAAAGGACGTGCAGCGTTGGAACCCTTGTATAGACCAAGGGCAGCATATAATGTTGTAACTGCTAGATAATTGTTAGGAATTATCCACTAAAACTGCATGTGTGTTTAGTTACACTAAGAAAAGAGTGCTTGAATGTTCCTAACCAGCCTATTTGTAGTACCCCCAGACTAAATACAGCCCAAACACCCATTAGCTTTAGGATAGATCATTAAATCCTGATTTATTCACAGTGGAGAACTACATATCAAAAAGAATGAACATTATATGTTTTATGCATTTTCTCTGTGTTATGGCTCACAATGAAAATAGAGGCAAAAACTGCACAAAAATGTAGCTGAGAAAACAATGATTATAGTAGAAGACAGTGGGAAACATATTTTAGTTTAAAACTTCTTTTACTTTGACCTTTTAGTTAGCTGGCAATCTGATAAGGACTCGGAAGCTGTTTGCTGTCAGGAAAACCAGAACTTGAGTTGATGAACTTGTTTTCAAATACCTCGTCAACCCATCCTAAACTACAGGCTCTGAATAGGAACCTCCAGCAACCACCACGAACACAACAAGGAAAGAAACATCCCGCCGTGTCCGTCTGCACTATAGGGGGTATTCTTGAGTAGGGTCTTGCTTGAGTAGGATCTTGCCTTTCTCTAAATCTTTCCAGCCGTGTGTCCTGAATATGTCCAGAACTCACCCTGAAAGCAGGGCTTCTTAACCCTGGGTAGAAGTCAGGGGTATTTGTGAACTTAATGGAGGGAAATCAGTTCAGTTTTACTAACTGAAATTTTAGCTTTACTCCAGAATCTGAATGCTGGCAGCAAATCAGTATTGTAAAATTACTTTTACAATAGTAAAAGCAGTGCCTGCAATTTTCTGATCAGTACATATCACAGTTACTTGTTTATGTTATGTTACAGTTGTCATGGGCATCTTAAAATACTGGTCACTACTTTGAATAAGATCTTTTTTAATTTATTTTTTTAATTGAAGGATAATTGCTTTACAGAATTTTGTGGTTTTCTGTCACAAATCAACAAGAATCAGCCATAGGAACACCCACATCCCCTCCCTCCCAACTCCCGTTTCATTCCACCCTTCTAGATTTTCACCAAGCCCCTCTTTGAGTTCTCTGAGTCATACAGCAATTTCCCATTGGCTATCTATTTTACATATGGTATTGTAAGTTTCCATATATCTCACCCTCTCCCTCCTCTCCTCCCCAACCACGTCCTTAGGCCTGTTCTCTATGTCTGTTCCTCCATTGCTGCCCTGAAAATTAATTCATCAGTACCATCATTCTAGATTCCATATATATATGCATCAGTACACAATATTTATATTTCTCTTTCTGATTTACTTCACTGTGTGTAATAGGCTCTAGGTTTGTCCACCTCATTAGAACTGACTCAAATGTGTTCCTTTTTATGACTGAATAGTATTCCATTGTATATATGTACCACAACTTCTTTATTCATTTGTCTGTCAGTGGACATCTAGGTTACTTCCATGTTGTAGCTATTATAAACAGTGCTGCAATGAAAATCGGGGGTACACGTGTCTTTTTCAGTTTTGGTTTCCTCAGGGTACATGCTTACGAGTAGGATTGCTTGGTCATATGGTGGTTTTATTCCTAGCTTTTTAAGGAATCTCCATACCATCTTCCATAGTGGCTATATCAGTTTATGTTCCCACCAGTAATGCAAGAGGGTTCCCTTTTCTCCAGCATTTATTGTTTATAGACTTTTTGATCATAGCCATTCTGACTTATGTGAGGTGGTATCTCCTTATAGTTTTGATTTGCATTTCTCTAATAATGAATGATGTTGAGCATCTTTTCATGTGTTTGTTATCTGTATGTCTTCTTTGGGAAAATGTCTGTGTAGGTCTTTTTCCCACTTTTTGATTGGGCTGTTTGTTTTTCTGGTTTTGAGTTGTATGAGCTGCTTGTATATTTTGGAAATTAATTATTTGTCAGGTGTATCATTTGCTATTATTTTCTCCCATTCTAAGGGTTGTCTTTTAACCTTGTTTGTGGTGAATAAGATCTTATAATTTGAGGTACTAATTAGAAAAGTTCATTTATTGTAGCACCCCAATGTTGTTTCATTTTAATAAGATACTTTTTCTTTTATTGGAACTGTAATTGACATATTGATATAATATGTATAATTCAAAAGTATATAACATAATGACTTAATATACTTATGTATTGCAAAATGACTACCACAAGTTTAGTTAACATCTATCACATCACATAGTTAAGAGTTTTTTGCTTGTGATATGAGCTTTTAAGATTTGCTCTTGGACTTCCCTAGAGGTCCAGTGATTAAGAGTCTGCCTGCCAATGCAGGGGACATGGGTTTGATCCCTGGTCCAGGAAGATTCTACATGCAGTGGAGCATCTAAGCCCGTGCACAACTACTGAAGCCTGTGCTCTGTAACTACAGAGTGGCCCACACTCGCCACAACTAGAGGAAGCCCATATGCAGGAACAAAGACCCAGCACAGCCAAATGTAAATTAATTTTAAAAAGATTTGCTCTCTAAGAAACTTTCAAATATACAAAATGGTATTGAGAAGTATAGTCACTATGCACTATTACAGCCCAGAACTTATAACTGGAAGCTCTACCTTTTCACCACCTTCCCCCATTTTTAGATTCCATATGCAGCATTTGTGTTTTCTGACTTCATTTAGCATAATGCCCTTGAGGTCTATCCATGTAGTCACAAATGGATTTCCCTCATAGCTCAGTTGGTAAAGAATCTGCCTGCAATGCAGATGACCTGGGTTCGATTCTTGGGCTGGGAAGATGCCCTGGAAAAGGAAATGGTAATCCACTCCAGTATTCTTGCCTGGAAAGTCCCATGTACAGAGGAGCCTGGCGGACTACAGTCCATGGGGTCGCAAGAGTCAGACACGACATAGCAACTAAACCACCACCAGCAGCTTTTTTTTTAATGGCTGAATAATACTCTGTCATATGCATATGCCAAATCTTCTTTGTCCATTTGTATATTGACAAGACACCTAGGTTGTTTCCATATTTTTGCTGTTGTGAATAATACTGCAGGGACATGGGGTTACAGATATCTTTGAGTAGTGACTTCATCTCCTTTGGATACAGACCCAAAAGTATATATTTGGGATCCAGGGATTGCTGGATTATATGGTAAGTTTTGTTTAAATCTTTGAGGAACCACCATGCTGTTTCACTTGGTATCCATAATAATCCTGTGTATTTGAGAGAGAGTGTGTGTGTATTTGCACACACATGCTTTTAAAAACATTCTATGAAGGAGTTCACAGACTTGGTCAGATCAGATGCCATAGGATTCCCTAGAACAAAGTGTTTTTTTTGGGGGGCGGGGGGGCTGTGTCATATGGTTTATGGGGATCTCAACTCCTCAATCAGGGATTGAACCTGCACCATAGCAGTGAAAGCCCAGAATCCTAACCACTAAGCCACCAGGGAACTCCCCAGAACAAATTTTCCTTTTTTATGTTAAGAACCCCTTTCTTAAAGGAATGTCATAAAGTTTGTCATGAGTGCAATCCTGAATTTACATTTTAGCAAACAGGAGCTGACAGCAGGTCTGGTTTCTGCAGCTCACTCACATATCTTTAGAAAATCACCATTCTCTGTCCACACCCCCATCCACTGAGCTCAGGACTACTGACATCACAGTCTGTAACCCCAGGTGTTTGTACATGACTTTGTGAACCTGGGAGTGTCCATACCAATTCTAACCCCAGGGAGCCCACACCACAGC